CATTATTATTATTTTTATGCTTTGCGTTGTTCCAAACGTGTGCATGCAGGTATCACTCAATGCTAAGAAAAGCAACCAATGAAGGAATTGTGGCCAGTCATACTAATTTATATGATCATTTTTTTATCGCAACTGGAGAAGCCAAGCACCGCAAAATAACAACAACTCGCTTGCCGTATTTTGATGGGGCCTACTGGTCCGGAGCTGCTGAGAATTTTGTTAAGAATGTTGAAAAGGAAAACAAGGAAAATGCTAGCAAGAGGAAGACAAAGACAACTTTAAAAGTCACGGGACACACGAATTCTTCAGATGTTGTCACTAATAAAGATGTGTTACTCATGAAAAAGGTAATTAGATTATAAGATTTACTTGGACGTTAAGAAATCTTTTTCTTCAGCACAAGAAAGCACTAGTGTAATATTGTTATTTACTCGTTGCTTATTATTTTTCCCTCGTTTCTTTTGCGTAGCTGGGGCAAGCCATTTTACCCTACAAACAAAACTTTATCGTCATTTTCTTGCAGTCTGTCTGCACAAATTGTCGTGAACCAATACTATCTAGGCAGGGATGGTTTTGCAATCAATGCAAAGATTTTCATATATGTCAAAGGTAAATTTTCGCTCAAAGTATCCCTTTCGCTCGAATGTTCATATTCTTCTTTCGTATTAAAATTATGTATTTTTAAGTGCTTGTATTTAGTTTTGCTATGCCTTCATAAGTTGTTCTAATTTGCAGATAAGTCGCTTAGTAAGTAATAGTTAATATGATGTGTCACAATTATTAATTTTGTACTCGTACTGTTTGTCTCAACATTTTATATACAATTTCTTCTATTATGATAACAAGTCCAAGCAACTTGATTATGGACTAATAATTTTCTATATTTCACTCTTGCAATTTGTGCTATTGCAGATGCCATGACATAGAGCAATATCTTTATTCCAATAATACGCACATTTCAGTCAAAGGGGAACAACATATGCTCTCCGAGGTGAATCTCAAACCTTCAATGTCATTCTCCATACCTAATTTATTACATTCAATTCTTACTCACTTTTATGACTTCCCTAATTTAAGGTCCTGATGGATGTTCCTTTTGATACCAAAGATGAAGATGATATGTTCGATAGCGGTTTATTTGAGAATAGGTATAAATTCTTAAAATTCTGCAAGGACAACAAGTATCAGTTTGACTCGCTTCGTCGGGCTAAGCATTCATCAATGATGATTCTTTACCATCTCCGTCACCTCATTGTGCCCACTGCAGCTGGGACTTCTACAGTTAGTCACGACGCAAGGAGTAAAGTAGAACCAGAGGAAATGTTGGTATGAATTCTTATATTTGAGCAGACTTAACCATGTAAATAATAATACTAGATTGATATTTTTCACGCCTAATAACTTGGTATTCTAATACGTTAGTTACAATATTCGTTTCTACAACTGATTATGTCAATGCTAAGTTCCTTCTTTTTTTCATTTTTCTTTTGTTGCTAAATTTGTGCAGAGAATGAAACTTTTGCAACTTCTACAACATGCAAATCAATGCCAGTCAACCAAAACGGAGCGTTGCCCTTACAAACACTGCCATAATATACAAGCCACGTTCCTCCATGCTAGCATGTGCAGGGTTAGAACCACTGGTGGCTGCACAACATGTAAGAAGATGTGGTATTTGCTGATTTTGCACGCAAAGAGCTGCACACGACATGATTGTCGAGTATCGCATTGCAAGTATGTGTTCATACTTCCTTGAGTGCTATCTATCCTAAATAAAAGATTGACTTTTTTTTTTTTTTCATGTGCTATCTTGTATCCAAAATGTAGCATTGCATGAACCGTATATAGATCAACTTTGAACGGAAGCTTACTTTGTTGATTTTGCAGGGAACTGAAGAGACATCCTGCATTAAAATGCGAGACTCACAGAAGAGCTTCAATCGCAGAATCAGATTCAAAGATATTTCAAGTTACAGATTCTCTAGGATGGAAACAGTTGGCCTGACTGAAGTGATCATCCCTCTGCTGTGTTAAAAGGGAGGACTGTTAAGTCATAGCAGGATTTGAAATATCTCGTTCACTTTAAACGTCTCTCTGGATATCTAAATCCTCCATGCCTGAAGACGGGTACGACGAATTTGTAGAGCTATACCCAATCAAGTGGAGCTTTCTGATGTGTGTTTCTTTTGAACAAAAATGGAAGTTTCTCTACCTCAAAGTTTGTACAATTAGTTGGTTCCTGACTTCCTTCAACTTGTCCGTACTTGGCTTGTAATTTGTTGAGGTCAGATTTCGCACCTCATCTCTCCCTTTTCATATGACCACTCCGATCGACTCGAGAAGACAAATGACCGGCCAACTAGAAACCCGCCTCGAGAGAATCTCCTAGAAGGAGAAGACCAATCTTCCAAATTCCTAAACAAAGGCCAGAACCAAGACCAAACTCGAGAGGGAAGTTTCCCAATCCAAATAAAGAAACAAGCAACAAGGAAACTGCAATCTCAAGTCAACACAAGATCAACTACAAAATTGGGAAACAAGAAGGGATCAAATCAGCTCCTTTACGTAAGGATTGGTACCACAAATTGGGCATCTCTTGGACCATTTACCACTCTGTATTTACTGCATATTTCTCTGCAAATCTCATCTCCTTACTCTCCTATTCATATTCTCTATTGTAATTGTACCTTTTCTACATTATTATAGTGAATCTAATATAAATTCACGTGTCCTTGTCTCTAATTTATTTGATTGCACTTTACATTTTCGTTATTAATTTCTGTCGACTTGAGGCCATCAACTAGCCGTTCCAGTTGATGCCCGGATCCGGTCATTGATCCGTTACAATTTAATTAATAGATTTCACCCTCTACACATGTTTAGAAAATAATACAAACCTATAAATACGACGTATGATTCTAATTTCAATTCAAAGTGAGGATGATTGATTAATAAATATTGAGTTTCTACTTCCTCTTCTTGAGTTTTTATTTTTCTTTCATCTCTCCGGCTTTCTTGTTCTTCTTACCCCTCTCTGTATCCAAATTCAATCTCTTTTTTAGTTTTATTAGTACGATGGTTTAAATTAGAGTGATTCTAATTTTAATTTTGAAATCAGAACCATGATTTATAATTTTAGATTCAAATCATGATTCTTAAATCAAAATTAGAATTATAGGTTTGAACCACCCAAAATTAAGAGAGTAGGTAATTTTAAAATCATGAGTGATTCATGGTTTAAAACATCAAATTAAGATTCAAACTTTGAATTAAAATTATACAAACTAAATATTAATTCTGAATAAGTCAAATTAAAACCATTTTTTATTTTTTATAAACAAATTTAAATCATATTCTGGATTCAAAATCATTATACCAAATAGCCACTTAGGGTCCGGATTGGATAGGAACCAAGGGAGTAGGCCTAGGACGGCTTGACTTTTTTTTTTTTTTGCCCCTATATACATACAAGTCCACTATACAATCACAAGAATCTTTTGCTCTTCCCTTTAATTGATAGTCTTCTTTTATTACATTTATGTTTATTTTTTCTCACTTATTTTTGTAGTTCTTTTACTTTTATTAACTTATAATAGTACGTAATTCGTAGTTAATTTTTTAAGGAATCCGAATTCTAACATTATTATTTTGAGAATAGTATTTGATTAAGTTAAATAGACTACACTTATTGTATTGACATGTTCATTTATCAAGATAAAGCTAAAAATAACAATGAGTTATTAAATGCAAAAGATTTTTCCTTTTATATTTAAGTAGCAATTGATTGAACAATTATGAAAATATATTTCAAAAAAAAAAAAAAAAAAAAAAAAAAAAAAAAAAGG